ATTTTTAATAAAAGGTTTAGCAATACTAATCTCTTATCAACATGGCAGTAAAAGGAGAATGTAATCGAAAGGATTTATTGATAAATAACTTTGATATCCATAGTTATATTTGTGATACTTTCCAAGTTTCAATTGCTTCCATCTGAAGTTCATTTTCATAATTGATTGTTTAAACAAAACAAGATGATAACTCTTGGTGGAAGATAAAAGTGCAATCATTTATATGCTCTAAACTAGGACACAAACATATTGAGTCCTTATTAAGGCAAAAATTTCATGTTAGTTTTGCCAATTTTCACCCTTTTTATAAATTAAAATTTGTAAAATCCAAAGTTATCAATTTATAAACTTGAAATTTTTATTTAGTCTCCAATCCACCTTACAAGCTGAGATTTTTCTTATTTATTAATAGACTGACTTAAAAATTGAAAAGATTCTATAAGCATTACTTTTGAGTTGAATTTATCACTACACGTAGACAATTTAATACTATGTAATCCAATAGTTTTTAGAATACTATATGAATGAATGAATGAATAGACTTCCTATGAGTTTAACTTCTTTGTTTTTACAAATAAAGAAGTATTACAAATTAGAAGTATTAATCCTTAGAAAATAAGACATTCACCGTTGGGTGAATTAATATTGGAAAAAAATTTAGTATGTCTTAGTTATAAAACAAATTAATTTAATATACAAATTAATATTTTTAACTTTAGTTGGAGTGTTAATTTTTTTTTCAACCAGTCTTTAAAATTGGCTATATTTTGAAGTGCAAGCCCAAAAACTTGGAGATGTCTATATGAAATTTCTACCCTAGTCCTACTATAGAATGATATTATAAAAATTTAAATTCTTTCTATTGTGACTTTAAGTAAAGTTTGAGTATAATATTGGATATTTTGATTTTTTCCTTCTGTATTCAAACATTTTTTATTGTTAGAAGGCATTTCTCAATATGATTCCAAGTATATATTAACACAAGTGTTATAAACAACCAAAGAAAATGATTTGAGAGATAATTTATTACAGTTATGATATAGAGGGAAAGAGCCTATGAATAATAATGCAATTTTTTTTATTAGTGAAAGGTCTTAAAATACTTGGGGTTAAATGTATTGGGAAGTTCAAAAAGGTTTCAAGTCATTACATATCCATATATTGATATTAACATTTGGTAGATCGGTTTGCTCCACTAAGCTAGACTTAATGGGTAAAGTGTCAAAAAAGTAAGGCTTTTGGAATCTATAACTTCAATTCATAAAGTTTAATAAACAAGAATACACTCTATTTTGTAATTGGTTAGTAATTTTGGGATATTTAGAGTTAAACATTTTTAGGTTTGAATAATATTGATTGAATTACCTTCTGGGAAGTTTAAATGTAAAATTTTACAAATGTATAGTGATATATCATATCATCATGTATAGCATGGTTAGAATGTATAGAAAGACACTAGATAAAGCTGGGAAATGTAAAAAAGGAAGTTAATCTTTCTATAATAGATCTTCCTTTCTTTCTTTTCTTTTCATTCCATTTCTTCTTTTCTTTTTATATCTTTTATAGATCAATCCAATTTAGCTTTTGAAATACACTTATACTTTATATAATCATCTTCCTTTAAGATGACCCATATTATAATCAAGTAAAATATAAAATCTTATTTTGAAGTAAGACTTTTGGGAGAAGAAAAACTAAGTGGCTTCAACATTTTCCATTTTAGCGATTTGGCCAACTTTATAAACGAAATTGTTTGAGTTTATGATATAAAACCACAAGGTCTCAACAAAATATCACTCTTTATTAGAGCATAATACAAGGCATGATGAAGACATGATATATGTATAAAAAAGAAGATGTCACATTATATTGCTTTATCAAGTTATATTAATAACAAACTCCTAGACTTTACTATTAGATTTTTACTATGTTTTCATTTTATATTTGGATTTACCAATTAACTTTATGAGGTGTAAAAGCATAAAAATTATTAAAATTATACAAAAGTAAAAATTTAAAGTGTAATGATATTACTTTACTTTATGTATACTTTATGACATAGTACTTTAAAACTAGAGTAATTAAAATTTAATATGGTATATAATTTATTATAATAAATATTAATCCTATATCTAAACATGAAGGCTGTATATTTATTCTTACTAATTTTATTTTTAGGAATATTTACTAAGAGAACTAAACTTGATATTGGAGATTCTGATATTTTAGATGAACTTGTACTAAATAATATTGTAAACACTTTTGCAAAAGCAATTAACACTATACCAAATTGTAGAATTCCATTAGGTCAAAGTGTAAATGGAAGCTTAAATGTTAAAACAACAAATATTTTATATGGTATTTTTATTTTAGATACAATTGAACAATTTTGTCCCATATATAATGAAGGCAGTTTAGATGCAGGATCAATTATAAGAACTTTATTATATGATATGTTACGAGAAAATTATAAAGATATGTTAATTTTTTGTGCTTCACATGTTATTATAAGTAAAGGACCATTTTATATTTATTATTTTATAAATAATTATAATTTACCAAAATCACAACAAATGACAATAAAAAATACTGATTGCAATATTTTTAAAAATATATTAATAGGTGGATATTTTAATATGCCACACCAATACTTGCTATCTACACAATATTTAATTTCCTTAAACCAAAAAGCTTATTTTTATGTGAGTATTGATTGTAACTTATTAATATATTTCAATAAAAACAATATATGGTCTTCGAAAACTTCAAATAAAGGCATTAAATGTATATTAAGATTACAAGAAGATGGAAATTTGGTTTTATATTCTTACAATAAAAAAGTTGTTTGGACTACAAATACATATTGCAAATATTTAAATTGTTATGAAAATGCATATTTTATTATTCAAAATGATTGTAACTTAGTTTTATATTTTACATATCAAAAAAGATTTAGCATTAAACCATTATCAACACCGGTATGGGCATCAAAAACATTTTGTTAATCTCAATTATATATATGAGAATATGAATAATGTATTCTGAGTTTAATTTGAATAACCTTTAAATAGATAATCTGTTGATATCTTTTCGAGCTCCTGCGATTTTGGAGTTTTAAAAGAACCCTAAAAGTAAATGATGTGAGAGAACAAATGGTCTTTCAATGCGAAAATGCCCAAATTTTCAACTCCTCCAGGCTTCCTATGCCTCTCTACTCAAGCAATGCGAAACTCCCTGTGATCTTAGAACTGGCAAGAGGGTCCATGCAAAGATCCAGGCCGATGGCTTGCAAGCCGACACCTTTCTCGCCAATCTCGTTGTCCAGATGTATGGAAAATGCGGCAGCATCCATCAGGCAGTCTCCACTTTCCAGTCAATTGTGAGGAAGAACCTTTTCTCCTATGCAATTCTCATCACAGCTCTCGACCAGCATGGCGATTTTCGTGCGGCGATCGAAGCTTACCGCGCCATGGACAGGGGTCTCGTCCCGGACGACGTGACCAACGTTGCCATCTTGGCTGCGTGTTCCAAGCTCGGGGATGTGAGCGCTGCTAGATTACTCCACAAAGAGATCGTGAATCGGCACATTCGCCTTGGGACAAAAGTTTACAACTCGCTGATCACAATGTATACTAAATGTGGTAGCGTAGAAGACGCAAAGGGGATCTTTGATCAAATTCCAGAAAGAAACTTAATCTCTTGGAATGCAATGATCTCAGCATTTGCCAGGTCTGGGCAAAGTTTCAAGGCAGTTGAGCTGCTAAGGAGGATGGAGAATCAAGGAGAGAGACCCGACCGCTATACATTTTGCAGCATTATCACAGCTTGTTCTTTCACCGGGAGTGATGTTATTCTTGGAGCATCTTCTTGTTCTAGTTCTCTTGGAGCTACTGGGAGAATGATCCACGAGAGAGTGATTCTACTGGGACTGGAATGCGACGTTGGTGTTGGAACTTGTCTTACGAGTTTCTACTCCAAGATTGGTCAGATCGATCAAGCAAGAAGACAATTTGACAAGACGGAGTTAAAGAACGTTGTCTCGTGGAATGCTATGCTTGCAGCATATGCCACAGCCGGGCATTTGGGAGAACTTTTGAAGCTCTATCGCATAATGGAAGTGGAACCTGACTCCACAACTTACTCCATTGTTCTTGGTGCCTGCGCGAGCAGTGGATATTTGGAGCAAGGCCGACGAGTTCACGAGAGGCTCCTGCAAAACACCCCGGACATGATCACCTCCGACTCGATCGTACAAAACTCGCTACTAAATCTCTACGCGAAGTGTGGAAGGCTGGACGAATCCACCAAGGTTTTCGAGTCGTTTTGCTCCAAGAACACGGCTGCCTGGAACTCACTCATCGCAGCTCACGTCCAGTCCGGAGATCCAAACACCGCCGCCAACGTCTACAAGCGATTGCTGCAAACTCCGGATGTAATGCCGGATGCTTTCACCTTCTCCACAGTTCTTGGAGCCTTCACAGCTCTCGGGGCGATCGACGAGGCCGCGCTCGTTCACAAGGAAATCGTTTCCAGAGGATTCTCCAAGGACGAAATCGTGCTCAAAGCTCTCCTCAACACTTATGCCAAGTGTGGAAACCTGGAGAACGCGCTGGAAATCTTTAAAACCATCAAGATCAGGGATACCATCTCGTGGACTTCCATGATCCTTGGATACGCTCAACACTGCCAGGTTCCGCAATCCTTAGAGCTCTTCCGGGAGATGATCCACCAAGGCTTGAGCCCCGACTACGTAACTTACACTAGCATTCTCCACGCCTGTGGCCACGAAGGCCTCTTCCACGAAACGCTAGAGATCCTACGGTGGATGGAGCGCGACTATGGCATCCAACGGACGCTGGAGCACTACCACTGCGTCATTGACATGCTTGCTCGCCTTGGTCAGCTAGACGAGGCCGAGGAGCTCCTCAAAGCCATATCTTACGAGCACGAGAGTGATACCATCGCTTGGATAAGTCTGCTATCGGGCCTTAAAACACAGCTAGATGATAACTTTCGTCAACAAATGATTCGCAGCTCGTAGAATACATTGGCCATACAATCAAGGATCGATCGCATCAGAAGATAAACAAACTTTACATTGGCGATGAAAAAATCGAATTTTTGGCAGCGATTCACCCCCAGTAGTCACACTTGACGTGTTTGGCGAACCAAATCGCGATGTCTTCCACACAAGCTTGCGCAAGCTTCGTGTCGAGGAAGCAGTCGATGGTCGCAAAGCCATGGACGGCGTTCCTGTACGTGAGAAAGCTCGCGTCCACGCTCACCATCTTGAGAGCTTGGACGTAGGCCGCCGCGCGGTCTCTCAGCATGTCTAGCTCGGCACTGATCACTAGCGTCGACGGCATCTTGGAGAGGATCGAGCTGCGAGAAGAGCTGCGAGGATCGATGGAGCTAGCTACCGCGAGATGTTCTTCCGGGAGAAACCAGCTCCAGGCCAGAGCCAACATCTCTCTGTCCAGAAAATACGCATCAGCCAGCGAGATCTCTGAGGGAAGAGGCGTGCTTCCACCCAGCAATGGATAAATAAGAACCTGGCTCACGACTTTCAGCGGCTCTAGTTCCAGCTTTAAACTTACACACGCCTGGGAGACTTGCTCGGCGATGGTTCCTCCAGCTCCAATCCCCATCAAAGCACACCTGGTGGATCGAAGAAAGGTGTAAGAACTTTGAAGAAATTCAGTAAAGTTTCTCTTTTTCTATCTTTTCTTACCTCGAGTAATCAACGTGAGCGGAGATCCATGGATCCGCTGGCATTTGTCCAAAGCTCTCGATGATCCCGTGAGAGACAGCCGTGGCTGGAAACGCGGCTAGATTTCCCTGCTTTGCTAGCCACTTGAGCGTGAAGATCCCATCGTCTCTTGGAGCTGGGAACTTATTGTCTGGAGCGAGACGATAGCCCACCGCGATCACGATACACTTGCAAGCTTTGGCGATCCTCCGGCAAAACACGTCGTTGGAGGAGGAATCCTTGCTGCCACTCACGAAAGCCCCGCCATGGAACTGGACTATCACTGGAAGCTTGACGTGTTCTTGCTTGCTCGCTGGAAAGTAGCCGCCAGAGAACTTGAGAGCTTCTTCCAGTGCCAGGAGCTTCTCATTGTCGGAATTCCCATTGCTGCTACCGACGGAGCTTCCATCCGAGAGCTCCAGCGAAGATCTCAAGGATTCCTCGTCCCCTGGCGCTGTGTGATCTCGCGGCAGCCATCCAAATCCCTTGCTGCCCGCCGCGTCACTAACCCCGAGACAGTGGTGAGGGAGGAAGATCCGAATTGCCACCCCGGTCGCTGGATCAATGATGCAATCCTTGGTCGCTACCCCGTCGACGAAGGAAGCATTGGGAGGGACGCGAGTGTTACTGCCCTGGGCGGCTCGATTCGACACCGCCCTTCCATCTCTCATCACCACGCATCGCCGGATGGATTGCTTGTAGCGCCAGCTCGAGATCTTGAGACCCAGATTCAGCATTCCTCGACCGATTCTTCCTCAATTCCCATGAAAACGTATCCAATCGCTAGCAATCACTGCCTGTCGCACCGCTCACAGCTGAAATTTCTTACCCGGGGCATTGGATCCAAGAACGCGAGGTCGAGCGAAATCGAGCGCGTCAGCAGCCGCCGGCGTAGACCGGGTAAGCGCCAAGAAGATTGGAAAACCCTAACAGGGAGAAAGGAGACACCGAGGAAGCAACGGCGATAGAAGAATAAGAACCCTAGAAGCAACCATAGCCATGCACGAGGCACACGTCAATGCCCGTCAACTCCGGGGGGCTTGAAGAGCGCGGTTATTTCGCCGACGTTACCATGACCAAGTTACCATTACCATTTTTGGTACCATTACCATTATCCTTTTTTTCCTTGCCCTACAGTAAAGCTCTGTGTCTAGGGTTCTTGGGGGAGGCATCGATCGCCAAGCGCTTGCCATGGAGGACTAGTAAGAAATTCTCTCCTCCGTGCTTAGATTTTGATAGGCGGCCCGCATTTGCAGCGATCGCGACGAGGGCGGGCAGCCAATCTTCGATCCAGACGAGGATGCAGCTGAGGAGGAATGGCAGCAACCCCCAATTGAGGATGATTGGCAGCAACAGGAGGAAGACGATCAGCCGCAGCGGCGAGAGGAATCGCCGTCGTCGGCGCACGGCGGCGCTGGATCAGACGATGGCGATGCCGAGGAGGCGTCCAAATCTGAGAAACCCCGGAAGAGGCTTGTCAAGAAGAGCGCTATTGGGCAATCCAGCAAGGCCGGCAGGGATGACGAGCGCAGGAAACCCAGGGAAGAAAGGAGAGAGCGATCGTCGCGGCTTTTCAAGCATGATCGAGGTGGAAAGGAGAGTGAGATGAACGAGATGTGGAACTCGGTTGCTGGAGGGAATGACTCCGAGGTCGGTGACAGTTCTTTCTTTTCTCCTTTCTTTTCTTTTGGTTGTCTAAAGTTCTTTGCTTTCTTCTAGGATGACAATGAGGGGCAGCGAACTCAAGCTGATATGGCTTTCATTGACGACACTGGAGTGGAACCAGCAGCTCATTACATTGGCAGCGATGATGAAGCTGGCTCGGCCGGAGATGCTCCACAGGTGCTGAGAATTTTTTATTTGTCAAGTTGTCTGTGACAGTTGAGCTCACCACGTTTTTTCCTTGTACAGGCAGAAGAAGGCGAAGAGGAGGACGACTTGAAACGGATATTTAAGAGCGGGAAGAAACGAAAACAGGCTGGACAGACAGACGAAGAGATTGCAGCTCTGGTGGAGCATGTTATTACCAAGTTAGCGAACGCGGCCGAGGATGACATAAAACTAAACCGGCGATCAAAGCCTGCCATCAACAAGCTCAAGCTGCTTCCGACGCTTGTGAACTCGCTGCAAAAGTAAAGTGAACATCGGTCGCTGGTTCTCGATTTCTAATTCGTTTTTCCAGACGCCAGTATCAGAATGAGTTCCTCGATCGGGGTGTTCTTGGCTTGCTAAAGTCGTGGCTTGAGTCTCTTCCGGACGGTTCTCTGCCGAACATGAACGTTCGTACCGCAATTCTCCAGCTTCTCACGGACGTAAGCAGACACTGATTCTTTTTTTTCTGATTGCCTCAAAAGAGTGTGTGTGTTTTGTAGCTGCCAATCGATTTGGAGCACGAGGACAGGCGAGAGCAATTAAAAAAGAGTGGTCTTGGAAAGGTATGGCCTTGACATCATTTAGCATGTCATGTTAATTTTCTTGTCTGTCACTTTAGGTGGTGATGTTCTTGTCAAAGCTGGATGAAGAAACGCCTAGCAACAAAAAGCTGGCCAAAGATCTCGTGGATAAATGGGTATGCTTTTAGCAAAGCCGAGTGTGTGATTAAGCTGTTCTCTTTGTTTGCCTTTTTGCAGAGCCGGCCACTGTTTCAGAAAAGCACTCGTTACGAGCACCTGAGGAATTACGATGAAGAAAGGCCTATCGCAAGAAAGGCACAACCGAAAAAGTAAGAACAGGGAGGGGCCTTTTCCCAGTGCTAACTTGTTCCTACAGGCGAGTAATGCGCAATTCTGTGGAAGACGATTTGCTGGACGATGGATCCGAGTGAGTAGATCGAATGGCTGTTCTGATATGGTGCTAACGTTTTGTGCTCTCCAGGGAAGCAAAGCCTGGCCAGCCCGGCTACAGGAACCACGCGTCTCGTCCGGAAGCAGTGGCAATGGACTTCGTCGTTCGTCCGCAGTCGAAAGTGGACATGGACGAGATACTAAACAGTCGCAAGCAGCAGCAAAAGGCCGAAACAAAGCGCTCGAAGGTAAGCGAACGAGTGTTCTTAGCTCCGGGATTCTCGTTAACCCGATCTTTGATCCAGATGAACAAGAAGTTGCAGCAACTGAGAACTCCCAAGAAACGAAAGTTGCAAGCCGAGAGGATCAGTGTGGAGGGACGTGGTCTCGTAAGAACTGTGTGAGTAAAGGCCTCTTCGCCTGTAACTCTGGAGACCATCTTCTTCTCCAAATGCAAGTTAAGGAACCAAGATAGCTTTCTCTGTAAAGATAAGATGGTTTCAAATCATTTGATCAACCAAAATTTAAACCACAGAGCATACCACTCAAGTTCTACTGGTAAAAGCTCATCTCCTTGCTGGATTTCTTCACATTGGCTTTATACCCCTTCTCGATGTCCTTGGCAAGAACTATGTATCGGTTCTTTCGCACTGCTTGTATCCCAGCTTCCTGGCAAACGGCTGATATCTGGAAAGCACAAGAATTGTTCGTGAGTTTTTCCTCTTCTAAATCGCAACGCGAGCGCTTACTTCGGCTGCCGTGATCTTGTCCGGCCTCGAAATAAAGTCCTCGAAATCAACTTCATCGCTGAGGTTCATCTTGGACGTGCAAACCTGGAAAATGAGTCGCTTCTCTCGCTTATCTGGATAGGGGAACTCGATCTTCCTGTCGAGTCGTCCAGGCCTCAGTAGAGCAGGGTCCAAAGTATCGGCACGATTTGTAGCCATGATAACCTTCACATTGAGACTTTGATCGAATCCATCCAACTACAAGAGAACACTTTCAGCAAAGGTAGAAAATCTGAAAAAAAAACCGAAAGAAAAGAAACCTGAGTAAGAAGCTCCATTAAAATCCGCTGCACTTCCCTGTCTGCACCATTTTGAGAATCAAAACGAGCAGTGGCGATGGCATCCACTTCATCGATGAAGATGATGGCCGGCGCATTTGCTTTGGCAAGCTTGAAAACATCGCGCATCATCCGTGGACCCTGCACAACGTTTGAACGTTGAACCCGAAAGGTTGAGAGCTTTCGACGAGAAAGAGTAGAAACTTACCTCTCCAAGGTACCTTTGAATAAACTCCGATGCCACAACCCGGATGAAAGCAGCCGAGGTGTGATGCGCCACGGCCTTGACGAGCATGGTTTTGCCAGTTCCCGGAGCACCATACAACAAAACCCCCTTGGGCGGATCAACTCCGAGTTGCGCGTACAGCTCGGGATGGGTCAGTGGAAGCTCCACAACTTCTCGAATCTCTTGCTTCTGGACTTCTAATCCCCCGATATCCTGGAAAACGAAAGAAAAGTTTTAGCAAAGGTGGTGAAAGCTTCTCTCCAGGAAAAAAAGAAACGAGAAAAGAAGATCAAAGGTGGTGTGAAGTTTGTCTGCAAAAGAGAAGAAAAATCGAAGGAACTTATACCGCATACGTGACGTCCGGCCTGAGAGAATCCGTGAGGAGCGTCACCGAAGAGTTCACCTCCAATGAAAGAACATCCATGAGAGCAAACGAGTGCGTATGGAGAGCAACCGAGCTCCCGGGCTTGAGAAGCTCTCTGTTGACGGTGCTCTGGATCCGAACATACCGCGGCGTGTTATTCCACAAGACAATCGCATGATCCCCATCGATCACCTCCATCAAGAGCCCCAGCATAAGCGGCACGGATCGAAGCATCGCTAGCTCTTCACTCGCGAAAAGGATCTGGCGCCGCGCGAATCTCATCTCCGTCTCCATGCACTCTAATCGGGTGTCGCGGTACCTGATTTCGTCCTCCAAGGCCTTGAGCCGGAGGTAGACCTCGCCATCGCCCGCGGCAGCACATTGCCTTCTATCGACCAGCGCCATTGAATCAAAACCCTAAAGAAAGCTCGTTTGAATAGATTGCCGCCCTTGTACTCCTTTTGTGCGAGAGAGAGAGAGAGAGAGAGAGGGCGAGCGAGCTATGGCGGACGGATCGAAATCCCAGAAGAGCGATGCGTCGTCTTCCTCACTGGCGCCGCATCCTGGCACTCCGATTCGAGAGGTATCTCAGCTGGATTTGTGATATTTCGAGAATACCATGGCCGATCTCTCCCAAATCTCTAGAGTTCTCCTCCGACTGCTCGAAATCCCGGTGCTCCAGCGTCGACAATGGCCACTGCTCCAGCCAGAGATCAGGTATCGGCACGACTTTCTAGCGGTCTTCCATGGCGCTCATCGAAAATGATCTCTATAGGTCCCTCTTGGCGTCGCGGCATCTGCTGCTCCAACCGGCAACCAGGTATTGCTACGAATTTCTCGAAATTTCTCCTCCTCGACCATGCATTTCTCCCCTCGATCATCCTAGGTGCCGGCGTCGATCGATATCGTCGACCAGGTACCATCGCAACCCGGAAAGCTCTTCTCGTGACTCCATTCTCTAGGTATCTCGACTGGCCATTGCCCGTGAGGCTGCGATCTCCCGCGGAGAGATTCGCCAGTGGGAGATGGAGCTGGAGAAACGAACGCTGGCCGCCATGGGAAGGCTCCAGGAGTATGACAACGCCGCGAAGAGGATGGGAAGAGCCGAGAAATCGCAGGCCATTCGCAACAGGCTCCGGGAGAAAGTGCTGGCCCGCTCGAACGAGTGCTAGTTCGTACCAGTACGGCTCTATTTTAGGGTTCTTCGTGTACGGTATGGCCCTCTGTTTTTAGGGCTCTTCGTCTAGGTATTTTGAGAGCTTCTCAGTGGACATAGCTCCGAGTGCTCCTACGTGCTTGTGATCCTCAACTATCGCCTGCCATCGCTGGCGGCATTGCTGTGGCAGAGAGGTTTGATCCAAATCTTTCGCGGATGGCGAAATTGTTTTCCCTTGTTTCTTGCAGCTAGGTTGCGAATGTGCGCCGATGGGGGAGCTAATCGGCTCTACAACGAGCTGCCGTTGCTTCTGGGACAGGAGGAATCGATCGTGAGACAGAGGTGAGATGCATAAATGTAAAATGAATCGAATGAGATTCTCCCTTGTGTAGGTTCATACCCGATGCGATCATTGGGGCTTTGGACTAAGTGAGGCAGTTCTACGAATCAAGAGTTTGATTTCTGGCAAGTTTGTTTCTTCTTTTTCTTTTCAGGGTACTGTTGTTCTAGACAAATCTCACGACCAAGACACGGTAGATCTTCACAAGTGCATATATTTCGTCGCCGAGAAATCCAGCAAGTATCAATGTAAGAACTGTTTAGCCGTTCTTCTTCGTTGTTTTCTTTGTTTGGCTTCTTCTTTACTATGTGTTCTTCGTAACAGTTGAATATCTTGGTGGTGGGAGCGTTGGGTGGAAAACTTGATCATGAGATGGGAAACATCAACGTACACTTTTCTTTCAGGAGCTTCCGGATCATGGTCTATTTTCTTCCTAGAGACGTTCTTCACACCATCCCGGGATCATTCCTCTCGGCAGACCCTGCACGGCAACATACACATGACTCATTCGTAAAATACTTCCACCATTCCTCTCGATAAAATCACTGTTTCCTCGTTTACTTTCACTTTCACTTTCTTCTTTTGTTCTCATAGTGATCTCTTCGCCTGTAACTCTGGAGACCATCTTCTTCTCCGAATGCAAGTTCAGGATCTCGAAGCCCAAAGTGGTTTCACATAATTTGATCAACCATAATGAAGATGAAATTTAAACCACTCAATGCTACTGGTAAAAGGTTATCTCCTGGATTTCTTCACGTTGGCTTTATACCCCTTCTCGAAGTCCTTGGCATCGGTTCTTACGCACTGCTTGCATCCCAGCTTCCTGACAAACTGCTGATATCTGGAAAGCACAAGTTCGTGAGTTTTTTCTTGTCAAAAATCCTAGTGAGCGCTTACTTCGGCAGCCGTGATCTTGTCTGGCCTTGAAATGAAATCCTCGAAATCAACTTCATCGCTGAGGTTCATCTTGGAGGTGCAAACCTGGAAAATGAGTCGCTTCTCTCGCCTATCTGGATAGGGGAACTCGATCTTCCTGTCGAGTCTTCCAGGCCTCAGTAGAGCGGGGTCCAAAGTATCAGCACGGTTTGTAGCCATGATAACCTTCACGTTGAGACATTGATCGAATCCATCCAACTGCAAGAGAACGCTTTCAGCAAAGGTTTTTAGAAAATGGAAAGGAAAGAAAAACCTGGGTAAGAAGTTCCATTAAAATTCTCTGCACTTCCCTGTCTGGGCCAGTTTGAGAATCAAAGCGAGCAGTGGCGATGGCATCTTATCCCAAAAGAAGTAAAAACATTGCAGAAGCCCATCACCAGTCAACCTCAAACAAGTGACAGTAAAGTAAGATGGATTTCACAAAGCCTCCTTTGCAATTATGCTGAGTGGTTGGAGACCATGGGGGTGGTGGTACTTGTTTCAAGGATGGTGTAAGAGAGCTCTTTGAAACTCTGGAGTTGGTTCTCTACAAAAACCTCTCCTTATGGTAATCGAAGTTTCTCACTGTCTATATTGTGTCTAATCTTCACAAACATCCAGGCATAAAACTTCTGCCATCCCGGCCCTATTTTTTGTCATAACCGCCATAGCAAAGCTTGCAACGTGCCATCGAGAGCTCTTGCCTAGAGCTTGAGTCCTAAGGCTACTTCATCGATAAAGATGATCGCTGGCGCATTTGCTTTGGCAAGCTTGCCATCGCGCATCATCCGTGGACGTTTCGACATGAAAGTTCTCCTGTTGAGAGCTTACAAAAAATGAGTAGAAAGAACTTACCTCTCCAAGGTACTTTTGCACGAACTCTGGTGCCACAACCCGGATGAAAGCAGCGGAGGTGTGATGTACCACAGCCTTGACGAGCATGGTTTTTCCAGTTCCCGGAGCACCATACAACAAAACTCCCTTGGGTGGATCGACTCCGAGCTGCCTGTAGAGCTCAGGGTGCGTCAGCGGAAGCTCCACAGCTTCTCGAATCTCTTGCTTCTGTATCTCTAAGCCCCCAATTTCCTGCAAAACCAAAGAAAAGTTTTGGTAAAGTTTCTAGAAAAGAAAAATGATAAGCTTGAATGGAAGAAAACTAGATCAAAGGTGGTGTAAAGTTTGTCTGCAAAAGAGAAGGAAAACAAAAGAAGGAACTTCGTACCGCATATGTGACCTCCGGTCTGAGAGAATCCGTGAGAATCGACACCGAAGAGTCCACCTCCAATGGAAGAACATCCATGAGAGCCAATGAGTGCCTGTTTACACCAACCGAGCTCCCTGGCTTGAGAAGCTCTCTGTTCACAGTGCTCTGGATCCTAATATACCGAGGTGTATGCTCCCACAAGACAATCGCGTGGTCCCCATCGATCACCTCCACCAAGTGGCCTATGCATAGTGGCATGGACTAGGATCTGGCGGCGTGTGAATCTCATCTCCTGCACTCTGATGAATTTAGCCACAAGTTAACTTAACTGTCCGATTATCCACAAATTAGCTCAAAGTATTTAATTTAGTCCTAAATCAAATAATAAAATTAACATATTAATATATTATTTTATCTAAATTAATTAATTTGGTGCTAAATTAAATAACTTGAGCCAACTTCTAGTCGATGTAATAAATTTGGTCATAATTTATATACTTGTAAACAACTCATTTGATTTTGATAAGTTTATTATATTTTTTAATTAATATGTTCACTCAAATTATTTAATTTACCCCAATTAATTTATTTTGCCCTAATTTGAAAAACATATTCTAAATGAAGTAAGAGCAAATTTATAATATTGAAAAATTCATGATATGAGGGCAACTGTATAGCTACGATGCCATATACTATTATTAACGTAATGGGATTTTGGTAGCTGTCGGATTGGTTTCAATTCGGACTACTCATTCTTATATATAAACTAGGGTTTTTGGGTTAATTGATAATTCCATGCACTCACATTAGTGGAAGTGAGGGGCAACTTTAATTGTTCATGAAAAGGGTTTGGATTTAGGATTTTGGTTTAGATCTAACTTCTATATCTTCTAGATTTAATTTTTTCCATTTCCTTTCTTTTGTTCTTCCCTTTTAGATTTTTGTTTAGATCTAGCTTTTTGCATTGTTTAGATCTACCATTTCCTTTTAGCTTTTTGTCATTTCTTTTCTTTTGCTCTTTCTTTTTTGTTTATCTTCATAGCGAATCAACAATCTCCTCCTTTGACGCTAGAGTAGCAGTTGGTCCAATTGCTTGATGGTATGCACTTGCAATTGAACAACCAAACTCAATTGATGGTAGCATTCACGGCATGTGGTCCAACTCCTCCTACTCTTGGTGCCAATCCTTGTGTTCGTCTGGAGTTCTTTCATGGGAATCTTGGGGATAATGTGTACCATTGTGTAAGCAACCAAAGGGAACGACTTGAGAGACGATCCATAAGGGTTCAAATATAGAGGGAAAGGGCCCATGAAAAAGAGTGCACCCCCTTTTCCAATTGGTTAAGGGTCTTGGGATAGTTGGAGTTAAGCGTCCTTGGGTTTGAATAATACTGAGCTGGGTGACCTCCCGGGAAATCCAAACTCAGGAGCTTACATTTGGTATCAGAGAGGTCTCGGGTCCAACTCTGTTGGTTGGCTAAGGGAATCGCACCACATGTTGATTGACATCTAGCTGGTCCAGTTTGCTCCCGCTGGGCTCGACCCGAGGGGTAGGGTGTCAAGAGAGCGGGGCTCTCGGGAGAGCTGCGGCTCTCAGCTTTCGTTCACGAGGGCGTGAACTTGCAGGGAAGCGTGGTGGATTGTAAGCAACCAAAGGGAACGACTTGAGAGACGATCCATAAGGGTTCAAATATAGAGGGAAAGGGCCCATGAAAAAGAATGCACCCCTTTTTCCAATTGGTTAAGGGTCTTGGGATAGTTGGAGTTAAGCGTCCTTGGGTTTGAATAATACTGGGTTGGGTGACCTCCCGGGAAGTCCAAACTCATGAGCTTACACATTGGTTCGATCACTTCACGGTGATTGCCACATATCATTTTTGGGATGATGCTTGACATTTGTGTGAGTTTCCCACATGTTTCCAAGGGATGGCATTGTAGTGGTACAATGGATTGAGTGTAACCACTCGTGGGGATTAGAGTGTTCTTTCAGACGTTTTCAAATGTGCCTTCGGACATGCAGACGATTGTGATAATGCCTTTCAACAATTGCATCGTCTTCGCCAAGGGCCATCTGAGTCGATGATGCAATTTGGCGTTCATTTCTGAAGTCTTTTACTTCGTGCGGAGCCCAATATGTCGGAGCGGATCAAGCTAGAAATGTTGTGGCCAGCACTTTGTCAAGATCTTGTTAGACTTGTGCATGCACTTGCTCCTGCCACTCTTGACGATGCTCTTCGCTTGGCACAACGTTATGAGACATCGCTTCTTCCACTTCTCACTGCACGTCCTTTAGCTCTACTTCCTATGAGTGATGGTCCTATTCCAATGGAGGTTGATGCTGCTGCTACTCGAGTCCAAGGACAAGGGCGAGGACGTGGTCATGGCCATGATGTTCGTTGCTGGGCATATGATGAAGTTGGTCATACTTATCGGCGTTGTCGGTGCTTTCTAGATTGGTGACCTCCATTTTCTGTGTGGAGACCTTGGCGTCAACAACGTCCCGTTGGTGCTGCTGCAGTGGAAGGTTTGGACACCACGGTACATCTGGGAAACAAGGAGTCGCGCAAGTGATGGAGGGACCTTGCGAGAATAAATTAGTGACCCCTCCATCTTTCTTTCGGGAGTATCATTAAAGGGTTCACTCAGCATCAATTCATCTAGTGTTTACTTTCCAAGCTCATTTTTATAAGAGATCTCCTATTATTCTCTCCATGTTGGTTGATATAGGTTCGAATTTATCTTCTATTGCTCGACCTGTTGCCACACGTTGTGGTCTACACTTGCATCGTGTGGCGAACCCAATTTTCATTCTTTATGGCAATAGCCGTACACATGTATATGCATGACATGAGGCGGATTTGGTTGTGCTGTGGGCAATCTTGAGCTTGACATTGCGGGTGGTGCCGAGTCAAGCTTTTGACCTCATTCTTGATATGGATTGGTTGCAGTGCAATCATGCCAAATGTGACTTTAACGCTTCTCCCCCTTGTCTCATACTTCCTTATGTTTCATCCATTCCTCTCACTTCTGTACCTCTTCGTCCCTTTACCTCTACCTCTGCTTCCATTACTTTTGTTCCCCCACTATTTTCTCCTATGTTTCCATCTTGTTCTGCTCTTCCTTTTTCCGATCCCTCCAACGATCTTTGTGTTGTAGCTGTTGACCAGCTCACGAAGGAGTATTTTGATCTTTTTGAATTTGACTTATCGTTTGGGGCCAAGATTGCCACATGTCATCCCATTCCAACTGGGGATGCTCATCCGATCAAGGTTTTGATTCATCGTAAGTCACCCAAGGAGATCAAGATTTTCTATGCAAATGTCAAGGAGATATTAGAGAAGGGTGTTATTTGGAAGTCGCAGAGTCCTTGGGCATGTGAACCTCATCTTGTGACGAAGTCTAATGGGAGTATTCGTTTCTGCATTGATTATCGTCCATTAAATGAAGTGACGATCCCAGATGTGTACCCTCTTCCTCACACTACGGATCTCTTAGATCGTCTAAGGCGAAGTGGTTGGTTCACCAAGCTAGATCTTGCTTTTGGGTACTGGCAAGTATTGATAGCCGAAGAAGATATTCCTAAGACCGTTTTTCATACACCGTTTGGTTTGTACGAGTTCTTGGTGATGCCGTTTGGTTTGAACAATGCTCCAGCAACTTTCCAATGGATGATGGACGAAGTTCTTTATGATATGCCAAAAGTGACTGCTGACTTCATTGATGATGTCTTGATTCACTCGGAGGGGACGTGGGAGGAGCACATTCGTGATGTGTGTAAAGTGTTGGATCAGTTACGGGATGTTAGTTTAAACTTGAAGCGATCAAAGTGCGTGTTTGGGTCCAAGGACACAACTTATCTTAGGTACTGTATTTCTCGTGAGGGTTTCAAGTTGATCCTGACAAATTTGTAACCGTTCTAAAGTTCCCTACTCCGAAGTGTGTGAATGATGTGCAGCGCTTCTTAGGCAAGGTGCAGTATCTCGGTTGTTTTGTGGATCATCTTTCTGATTGCACTGCACCATTGCGAGCGTTGCTGAAATCATCAACGTCATCTTTCATCTGGTCTTCAGATTTTGAGCAGGCGTTTGTGGATCTCAAAGTGTTGTCTGGTTTTGGCATATCTTAACTACACTCGACCTTTTATTTTGCACGTAGATGCTTCTGATATTGGTCTTGGAGGTGTGTTAATGCAAGAAAGCCCAAGTGTGCCTGGTTAGCGTCATCTTATTGCATATATAAGCCATATGTTACAACCAGTAGAGGTGAACTACTCCACGACAAATAAGGAGTGTTTAGCGGCAGTTTGAGGTTTCGAGAAACTTCATGCATATTTACATTGTTCTCGAGCGTTACTTGAAGGTGACTATGCTGCCGTTACTTCATTATTGAAGCGGAAGAACATGGTTGGTCGTACGGCTCAGTGGGCTTTGAAGCTTCAAATATATGATTTTGATGTTGCTCATCGCCCAAAGAGTTCTATGGCTGATGCTGATGCCCTTTCTTGAGCTCCTCTTCCTTCTCCACTTTCTTCTCATGTTTCTAATAAGCCTATTATTCTAGCATTTGTGGATTTTCTAGGTGAGGCGATTGCTGTACTTGACATTCAGTGTCCACAAGACGCAGAGCAAGATCTACATTCTTTTGATGAGGTTCGCAAGGCTCAAAAGATTGAGCCATAGATTCGAAGGCTTCGAGATGCATTTGAGGATCTTGTATCACCTGCTGATGACTTGCCTTTCCAGCATTTACATTCTCAATATCAACTTGAAGATGGCCTTCTTTATTTTGTGGGGACAGATCCTAATGATCATTTATGACTAATGGTGCCTTCTGTCTTTATTCCGCGGTTTCTCCATGCCTACCATGATTCTCCTGTTCTAGGTGGGCATATGGGACATCGTCGTGTGACCAAGAACCTACGCAAGTCTTTTTATTGGCCGGAGAGGCGACGTGATGTTATCTGGTATGTGCGTAGCTGCGTTTGGTGCCAAGCTCGTAATACTCCCCCTTGTGCTGCGGAAGGATGGTTGGAGTCAATTGCAGTTTCCCGTCCGTTTGAGTTGGTGGCATTTGATCTTATGGGACCTTTTCCACGGTCGACTGCTGACAATGAGTATATTATTATTGCTTCTGACTACTTGACTCGTTGGGTGGAAGTTGGTGCTCTTGCTAGCACCTCTGCAACAGCTGTTGGATACTTCCTCCTCAATCGAGTGGTATTCTAGCATTCTTGTCTAGAGCAGATTCTTTCGGATAATGGTCCTGCATTTATGGCTGAGGCATTTCATATTTTGACGTCTCGGTTGGGGATACGCCACACTTTCACGAGTGCTTATCATCCACAATTAGACGGTCTAGTGGAATAGCTTGTTTGGACATTCAAAGGGATGATTGTGAAGTATATGAACTTTTAGCATTCGGATTGGGATGGTTATTTGTTGTCTCTTTGGTATGCCTATGTCATAGAGGTGCAGAGTTCTATTGGTGCTTCACCATATAAACTTTTATATAGTCATAATCCAATATTATTAATGGAGTTGGGTTTACTTTTGCAATTGCCACGAGCTCCCGATGCTAGGTCATGGGATCAATATTTGATGAGCATTCTTTCACTTGTCCAAGCAGAGTCTGCCGAACACTTAGGCTGCGTACAAATGGGACAACAATGGCGCTACAACTCCCATTATCGTCCACCTGCAGAGTACACCGTATCGGGTGTTGCAGCAAGTTGGACCGCAAGTTTATAAGGTTCGGCATGATGTCCAATAGGCCAATCCTTCGGAGATTGTGCATATGCAGCAATTGAAACTCTTCATACAAAGGGATCAAGAGCAGTTAATACCATTTACAAACCCGCCAATGCCTCCTTTTGACGTTCCTCCAGATCCCGGCCCATCTACAAGAGAACCCTGACAACCTTCCGAGAGGAGGGGATGATGTGAGGGCTAAGTGTACGGCTATGATGCCGTATATTAATATTAGTATAGTGGGATTTTGGTAGCCGTTGGATTTGTTTCAATCCGGACCACTCGCTTTTGTATATAAACTAGGGTTTTTGGGTTAATTAATATGTACATTTCTGTATTCCCTTTCTATATTCCATGCACTCACAATGAGAACAATTTTATAATTTTAAGAACTTCAACAAAGTCAAATTTGTAATTAAGCTAAATTTAAGAGGTATATATATAATTTCCCTAAAAAATCTCAATGAATATTCTCCCTGGTACAAAGCAAGATTAAGGTTCTTGAGCAGCTATGCACTGTTTGGGCGTGGCCAAGTACTGAGCTGGATTGACAAATCCACATTCCTGGATCATGGTTGAATTTACCAAAGGACTTAGTGGTAGAATTGAAACCACTCAAATCCGTTACAAATCTCTTACAACAACATAATCAGGCCAGGTGACGCCATCAGACCGCGATAGGTGCAAACTAGGGATTTCCGAGATTCGCTTGGTCCCAGGATCCGGCAGACACAGCGATCACAGAGATTAGGTTTACATGGCCATTGTGCAGCTTATGGCGCCTGTGATTCTTCTCATCTCTCTGCTGCTGCTGGAGGCGCCAATAAGGTGGTGAGTTTTGTCATTCGATCTTGAATTTGATCCAGGTTTTCACATTTCATTCATCTAGTTGCATGTCCGTGGACACCAGACTGTGGCCAGTCTCCTGGTTAGTCTGGCATGTGACAGGGTTTTGGTAAAGGTCTGAGGTAGGATTCTCAACTTGGAACGAACCTCCTAGTGTGTGATACTCTCTGTACTTACAGAAATTGATTTTAGGCACTTACTTCAGTCTGGCATGATATTCTTCACCTTCAATCCCAGACTTGCACAATGTGGCCGAATAATGGAACTTTGGAACAGAGAAGACACACTCTGTTGGCACTGGCCTCTGGGTACTTGTCAGTCATCCTTGAGGCATCGTTTAGCTTCTCATTTTGAAGGGAAAAAGCGAAGGAGATATGTATCCCATCAACTGCGATATTTTTTGAGAAGCTGGGAGCAGTAGTAAAGCTGAGTTGCTTGAAAGCGGCGGTCTCTTTCTTGCGGCTTTTTTGAAGGTGAGATCTTGAGGGGCTTCTGCCCTTGGCTTCAATGATTGCTGAGCAAGTTTAGGAAGGGCCTCATGAAACTTCCGGATGGATTTCTGTAGAGGAAATCATTTTACGTGAACAACCTGTCTTGGGAACTTTATGATCAAAGCTCCTTGCAGTTGTGTTATGGGACTTGAATAAGCCACTAGAAAGAACTCCTGGGGGTTCGGTAAGTGTTTTAACGTTTTATTCTTTTGGTGATGATAACGTGATGTGATATTATAAGTGATATGGTGATCATCCTACTTGATCCTCTCCAATAAGCAGATCTTCGTACAAGCCGCAGTGACAAACTGCGTTTTCTTTTTCACTAGGATGATAAGAACAAAAGTGCAGCTCTTTAAAATGAGCATGGTTTTCCTATTAGGTGGTGATCTGAGGAACCTTGGTCACCAGCAACTGGCCAGCTGATCCTCGTATGTACAATGAACATTTGGACGATGGTTCGATAGCTCGTCTGGCTGCTTACAGCTGCCTCCAGCGTAGCATCAACCACAACAAGCAGAAGCTAATGGAGGAGGACAGTGCGAAAGAAACAGGTGACACATTTTCTTCCCACCAGGTCTCGTTGGAGTCCGACTCAGAGATGCTTCCAGCTCCCACATGTCCGGCTGCTCCTGATTCTGTTTCGTGGCATTGTTTGGAGAGTGGGCGACCACAGAGGCCGAGATTTCCGATGAAGCTTGAGTTGTCGAATGTGTCAAAGTGCTTCTTCTGCGGGATCTCACCCTCCAGCTGATTGAAAGACACGTTGAAGGAGGCAAGCGAGTCGAGATTTGCGAGTAAGGTTGGAATGGAGCCTTGCAGGTGGTTGAAGGACAGGTCGAGCTGCTCCAGTTGAGTGATTTTCCCATAGGAACTTGGAATCTCACCACTAAAATTGTTGTGGGACAGGTTAAGGTAACGAAGGCCAACGAGGTCGCCCATGCTTACAGGAAGCTTGCCAGTCAGCTGATTCGTCGATAAATCCAGCAGAGTCGTGGTGCGTAAGACGTACTGGTATGGAGCAAATAAATTGCCTTTCACACTGAGGAACAGGTCTTGATATAGTCGATCGGCACCCGCAGCATCGCCCTCCGATGTTAACTTGAAACCCTGTAGATTGTTGAGGGTGGCGGGCAGTGATCCTTCAAACTGGTTATTTGATAAGTCGAGCACCTGAAGTTGGGTGAGATTCCACAGCCAATCCATGGATGTCAAGGAACCACGGAAGCTGTTGTTCCCCAAGCTTAGCACTCTCAGCGTTTGGTACTTTCCCAGAGATGAAGGGAGCTCACCAGTAAACCTGTTCCCCCGCAGATCAATCAGCTCGATGGAAGTTGCGTTTAACAGTGGAAACTGGCCTTGGAAATTGTTGAGTGAGAGCGAGAGGATCTTCAAAGAGGACAACTTCGAAATGTTCATACCAAGCTCTCCCTTCAGTGAGTTATTCCCAACCTTAAGGCGCTCCAACAAGGTGCAGTTCTCCAAGGTAACCGGAAGGTTCCCAGTCAGTTTGTTTCCTTCTACTCCCAGTGCTTGAAGGCTTTTGCATATTGTACCAATTTCATCCGGGACTCTTCCACTAATGGCATTCTTTGACAGGTCCAACTGCTTCAATGAACTGCAGTTCCCAAGGCTTCGAGGAATTTCTCCAATGAGCAGATTCTTGGATAGATCCATTTGAGTCAACTTCTGAAGCTTCCCGACGATGGAGGGGACTGTCCCGCTGAAGCTATTACTAAACATATAGAGAATTTGGAGCTGGGAAAGGTCGCCAAGTGACTCAGGTATTGAGCCTGTGAATTTGTTTTCGTGCATCCTCAGATCTGTCATCTGTGTCCAGTTTTCGAATGACAGGTGGGAAATCCTTCCGGACAGAGAGTTCCTGTGAATGAACAAATCCTGGAGCTTGCTCAAGCTTGTGATCGACTGTGGTACGGCTCCATGCAAGTTGTTCGTATCAAGGAATAAGTGCTGCAGATTAATGAGTCGTCCCAGATCTTGTGGAATTTCTCCGTCAAACAGATTGGATCCTAGATTCAAACGCTCAAGCGCTGTCAGATTTGCCAGCTCCTTGGGAATGCTTCCTCGGAAAGTACAAATTCCCAGGTCTAGATTGGTCAGCGTTGTTACGTTGCCAATCCTTGGTGATAAAGTGCCGGTGTTGTTCTTCGTCAGTCCGAGTTCAGCCAAAGCCAATGTGGTTAGCGGAAGCCGAAACAATGATGATGGGATAGGACCATCCAGATTGGGGGACCAGCCGATATCCAACCATTCTAGCTGGCTGCAATTGCCTAGCTCTTCTGGGATCTTGCCGGTGAGCCTTTGGGATCCATACAGGGAGAGGGCTTGCATGTTCTGAAGCTGACCGAAGGAACTTGGAATCTGTCCACTCAGGGAATTTCCTCCCAGAAACAGCTCGATGAGCATTGAGCAATTAGCGATGGCCAGTGGAATATGTCCGTCCAGCTGGTTTTGCTCCAGATGCAGCACCTGAAGATTCTTCAATCGTCCAAGCTCTTCTGGAATTGGACCCTTCAAGCTGTTGACTCCCAGCCAGATCTCCTGCATGTTGGTACAATTCCCAAGAGAAGCTGGTAAACTTCCTGACAAGTGATTGCTACCCAAGGCAATCAGCTCCAGCTGGGGCAACACTCCTAACTCTGGTGGAATTGAACCCTCCAGCATGTTGGCCTGGAGAACAAGCACCTGAAGATTGCTACAGTTGCTGAGTTCCCTGGGAATGATGTTGGTGAGATTGTTCATGTGGAGTGCCAGAGTTTCGAGCTTCTTGAGGTGTCCGAGCATAGCAGGTATTCCACCGCGAAGTTTGTTGTACCCGAGGTTGAGATATGTCAACTCTTGGATGGTTCCAAGCTCTTCTGGAATTTGGCCCTCGAGCTCATTGAAGTTCAGCGCCAGAGTCCTCAGATTTTTCAACTGGCCGAAGTCAAGTGGTATCTTCCCCGACAGGTTGTTTCGACTCAGATTCAGAACTTTCAAGCTACCAATGCTTCCAAGAGAAGAAGGGAGGATCGTACCTTGAAGCATGCAGTTGGAGAGATTGATACCCACAACACTGAGATTGTCAGAGTCACAGATTATTCCGCTCCAGCTCGAAGAACACAAAGAAGCTTTCTTCTTGCGCGTCCAGTTCGCCAGGACTCCTGAAGCATCAGCAGTGATCCCGGACTTGAAGTTGAGCAAAGCCTGCATTTGGTGGTCACTGTGATTGATAGTCAAAGCTTGTCTGACTGGCAGGAGCAGCAGCAGCAGCATCAGCATGTCACAGAATGCCATATGGCTCAGGCTCTTGAGCGCAATTGTGGTGCATGGAGAAGGTTATAAGAATGACAATACCATTCTTATAGTCTTCTCCATACACGATAGTTGCGCTGGGGTCTAATGTCTACTAATGTCCATCTTGAGTGTTAATCAATCCCATCCACCTTTAAGACTTTGGATGACAGGAAGTCTTAAAGGTGGATAGGATCGGAGAGATCTTCAAACTAAACACTCATTGTTGACAACTTGGGGTCCCATTCACTGGGACAATTTCATCGACATATTCATACCAGGTTTCTCTGGCATGTGTGATGGTTTATATTCTGTGACCAGGAAGTGCAAGAGGGCCGTTCAAAGTGAACAAGTGGATGGCGCAGATTTTCTTTGCAGCTGGGATAGATGTTTGGGCACTTCAGACTGGCATGTAAGCCATCCCGGACACATATTAAACTTTTTGACACTTTTATAATTGGTCAGATTTTAAGGTCAGGAATTTGATTAAGTGTGTCAGTTTCTTGCAGTGATGTTTGTGCAGTAAAGGACACTAGCCAGCAAGTCTTCACATGAATCCTGAGCTTTCTTAGTGTTTTGTTCGAATTGTGGTGCATGGAAAAGAATGGTACTGTCCATTTCATTCAAAGTCTCAAAGGTGGATGCCTTTCCGGGTCCGCTGCTGCAGCCTTCTGACAAAGAACTTCCTGTTCATATTTTGTACCTTGTGCATCTCTGGCATTCATCTAGACAGAAAGATTGATTCCACACACGAGATGACTAAACCGACCCGTTGGAATCATCAGGCTCATTTCTTCAAAGGAAGGTCTGGAGATGTGAAATCAGGGTACTTGCGTCTGGGGTGGGGACCCGACACAGGGTCCAAATCCGCCACGGTATCTACTTTCTTCGCCGTCCTTTGGGGCTATGGGATCCTTTCCGAATAAGATGTTTTCACTCTTCGCAACAGAATTGACAAGAAGCGAAATATTAACTAACTATTAACTGACTGATCTTGTAAAATGTTTTAACTAGTATGTACTGGACACTGTCAAATTCTCACGTCGGCTGCATTTGAACAGAAATGGAATATTCAGATGCAATTTTAACTGGCCTATATAATACCTATTTCACATTTGTGTAAATTTCTATCTAACGGTGAGGATCATTTTTCCAGGCCAGAGAACCAATTAAAATTTTTGTTTAATCATCGCGCCTGGTTAAAGTCAATATTCTAGTCACTTCGCATTTTACAAAGGCTTGTGTCCGTTTTAGCGACCTCCACCGCATGAAAGAGAGGCTGCTGCTTACTCAGTTGATCAGAAGCTGCAGCAGAGACAAGAATTTGGCAAGAGCAAAGCGGGTTCATGCCCAGATTGATTAGGGTCCTTACAGGGAGGATGTGTTCGTGGCGAATTTGCTTGTTGACATGTATGCCGCTATGGAAGCTTGGAAGAGGCAGAGCAGGTATTCAGAGGGATCAGGCAGTCGAACTTTTACTTGCAGAATGTCATTCTTCAGGGGTATGCCCAGATTAGCAACATTTTGATCCCTAGCTGGCTAAAGATTGTTGCTTCAGTGATGGAGATTCCTGATAGTAACACTTGGATTGAAAATTTGTTATTGTTTGTTAGTGAGCAAGATGTGGAGGAGCATCATTGGTATCACGAAGAACAACATGCATTGTATGCCACAGATTTGTTGGCAGAGGTTCCAAGCCTAGCTGCAACTTTTGAGGATGGATCATAACAAGCTGCTGCCTATCATGCCCAGGAGCTTTAGCAGGCACAACAATTTTCATCACAAGCTGTTGTTGAGCAGACTTAGTCAGGTAGAA